GAAAAAAAAAAAAACCCAAAAAAAAAAAAAAAAAAAAAAAAAAAAAATTGAGGCTGGACAAAGAGCCCCGGGGGCAGCGCGGGAACCACCGAGTGCGCGGGAACCGCCACGGCGCGGGCTTTGGCCGTGGGCAGCAGGGAGCGGGAGGCGATGCTCTGCATCCCGGGGTGATCGCTGGGATCGGGGTTCCCGCACAACGGGGCTTCAGTGAGACCGGGGTGAGGGGCGCGGAGCCGAAAGCCCTCCCACCCAATTAGTTTTCGGACCGTTTCCAATTTCAGCGCAGGCAAGTGGTGGTTTGAACTCACGGATGGGAAGCCGGAGCAGAGCCCAGGCCGAGCCTGGACGTGGTTATTAGCCAGGAGGTTAATTAGTGATTGGAGGAACTGCCCTGGGGGCCAGGGGAGCCCACGCCTGAAGGCACAGGGGGGTTTGGGGGTGCTGGCAGTGCCCAGGTTGGGCTGCCCGGGTGCTTTCCAGGCTTTTGCTTCAGGAAACCCCTCAAGTTTTGTGGCGTTTGCAGATTTTTATTTTTTTTTAATGGCTTTCTATTTGTTTGTTTTAAGAGCTGGTTTATGGCCGCAATCAGCTCAGGAAGTGAGGAAGGTGCGGCAGACGCCGGGGAAGGGCTCGGCACGGGTCTGAGCTGAGCGATGGGCACTGGTGGGCAGGCGGGACCGGGCTACGCTCGCGCATCGCATTTCTCCTCCCCTGCCAGAGGGGTATTTCCAGGCACTGAGAAGTGCTGCTGAAGCAGCTCTTCAGAGAAAAAGCAATCCAACACAGGCACCCTTAAAATCCATCAGTCGCTCCTGTCACCCCCGGCGGACTCAGCGTCACGCAGCGTGGGGCTGGCAGCACAGACCCACTATGGATGCCCGGCAATTCCCAAATCACAACCCCAGCCGTGGCAGGGACGGGGACAGCCCTCACACCCCCCCACACCGCACCAGCTCGGACAGCCCTCTCAACCTCCTTCCACGGTTTCTAAGTCACCTCCGTTTCTTTTCAAGGTCTCAGAGCAGAAGGTCTCTGACGGCAGGGATGTCACTGTCACGATAGTGATATTGCTGCTCAGCCAGAGTATGAAATAAGGACAGCAGGCGCTCCTCTGCTCGCACACGGCAGCGCACGGGACGTGCCCACGGGCAGCCTCACACCCGGCGGCTTCCACACCTCTCCTGCATCATCTGTAGATGCTTCTGCACAGCAACGATGCTGTTGCTGCCCACGTTTGCAAGTCTGAGACGAGGCAGGGAAGAGCACGGCTGCGGACCGAAGCCGTGGGATGAATTTCGCTGTTTCCTCCCCGCACGGGTCCCGGAGCTCGCTCACAGCCAGAGACCCCTGAGCTGCATTTAAAAGCCCAATGACTGCAACGGCTTCAGAGTCCCGGCTGCAGAGGAAAGCCTGGAGACAAGCCTCACATGCAAAGCAAGAGATCAAAAACCAGTTGAAGAATAAGGGCAGCCCAAGATGTAGTTATTTTTCAGGTCTCCTAGGTCCGGAAAGGCTGGATTCAGCAGAGCCAGGTTCAGCTCCCAGCTGTGCTGCAACCTCATCATACGTCCACCTACTTCTCCAGAGGCTTAAAACCACTCCTGAAGTTCAGCCCAAGGAGCAAAGCTCTATTTTCTGTATAGAAAAAATACCAGTGGGTGGTGGCATCAGTGCTCCCAGGTGAGCAGACATGGAGGATGCGACATCCCCGCGGGCTCAGCCAGGTGAAGATCACCCTGTGGTTTTTCCTTTGGCATTTCCCAAGCGAGGGCTACCCAAACCAAACCCCAAGCAGCTTATGGAAATTAGCATAAGAGACATTAAAGCTAGGCTTTAATTATAGATATATGTGCTGGCAGAGGACAGGGCGGGTGCTCCAAGATCAAAACAGCTCAGAAGGGCCATTAGAAACCAGCTCCGAGGCAGTGAAAGGCAGCCAATCTCCCCAGGGTCCTGAGAAGCCTCTGAAATCCCCGGAGTGGCCAGCGTGGCCGTGCTCCCAGTCCCACGCGTGACGCACGCCCCGTTCCCGACCCAGGCAGGAACAGCTAAAAATACCGGTGTCTCTCCCTCCCCTGAGCATACAGCTGAGAAACGTTTCCGTTGACTCACTAACCTGCTGCAGAGGCATCAAATGCT